TTATTTTACAGATGTGGGAAACTGAGTCACAGAAGTTAATAACATGATCATAGTGGGAGGGTCATCATGTTTTGGCAAAGGTGGGAATAGAATCCAGTTTCCTGGAATCCCAGTCATCTGGTTTAACCATGTTTCCTCTCCTGCTGTCATTTTTTTTAAAGGGAAACTCAACATTTATTTAAAAGTGCTCATTAAAATGACAGCTTGCACATTTGTCCTTTAAAGTGCTAAGATTGATGTTGTGTCATTTCGCACAAAGGCAGAGTTTTGCATCGCCTGGAGCTTGCTGGCAGGGCTGGCTCATGTTTTAAAGTAGAGTTGGTCTCTTTTCACGTTCTGTATTTGGAACGTATTTGCTCGCTGAAGTGTGACATTATGAGAAATCACAATTTTACTTGACATTTCTTAGAGTCACAGTAGATGGGGGAATGGCTAGACATAAGCGGGACAGGAATAAAGATAGGCTATAAAGTCAGTTTCCCAACAGGTACTGTCAGTGGAAAACAGAGCTCCTTTTGGTTTGGTTTGGGTTTTTCCCCTTCTTTTTGGAACTTTTGATCAGAAGAGAGCTGTTGATTAAAATTTCTTGTTTATAAAAAAAAAATCCCTCTTTTATAAACTGTTTTATTAAGAGCTTGAAGAATTTTTTCATGAAAAACCGTTTTAGTTGAAAAATGCAGATTCAGGTCAACTGAAATAGTTCATGAATTTGGATTGGTTTTGGTGACTTGTTTAATTTAGGGCGGGGAAGGGAAGGGTTTTTTTTTTATTTTAATTTGAGAAAAAAGTTTTGTTTTGGACTTTTCCTTGACTGTACTTTTAAAAAAAAAAAGTAAAAAAAAAACTCTATTTGAGAAAAAAGTTTTGTTTTGGACTTTTCCTTGACTGTACTTTTAAAAAAAAAAAGTAAAAAAAAAAAAACTCTCTCAATTTTAAACAAAATATTTTGCTTTGAGTCAACCCAAGTGAAACTTTCTGACATTCTATTTTACCAACAAATCTTAAATATTTTTATTCTAGGTTGACCCAGTTCTATTTTTTTTTATTGCACTTGAAGTGTACATTGAGTTGTTTGGCCAAATCTAATTTCATTTTCAAGGTATACCTGGGAGAGGATCTTAGCTACGACTTGGACTGAAAGACATGGACTGTAAGCTGTTTGAGGCTGGGATTGCATTTTTGTTCTGTATTTGTACAGTGCCCGGCACAATGTGGTTCATGACTAGGGCTCCTTCACTATTGCAGTATGACTGGGCGTTTTCCTGAATGAACCCTTGAAACGCTTTCGCCACGGGGAGCTAATAAGCCAAGCAAATGCCAGCAATAGTAGCAAAAAAGGGTGCTTTATCTAATAAAATAATTCCCTAATTTTAGCTGTGTGTTTGGAGTGACTTTCAGTAAGAGACTCTAAAGAGAGATGTCCTTGGGAGCCATTTTTATAATACCCTCCATTGTGCCTTGGATTGGTCAAAATATCAGCTTCTGGAAATACTTTGTTCAAGATGTGCCGTGACTGGAAGCTAGCCAAGGTGTGGAGAAAGTGCCTTCAATCGCACTGTTATAATTTTTCTGTGCTGATCTCCAGGTAGTATGTAAGCTAGGAGAAACTTAGCCAAGTTTATGACAAAGTGGGTTTTTGCCCCTGAAAGCATATACCCAGATAAGTCTGTTAGTCTTTAAGGTGTCACAGGACTCCTTGTGGTTTTAGCCAAGCTTTGACATCCATTCTGCTGATTTGCTGAATCATTTGGGTTCTCTAAAAGTTAATTGTGAAATGCAAAACTATGGGTCACACATACGCTCTGAATGCAGTGACCTCATGGAAGCTCTGTGCCATCCAAGGAGGTCGTCTCCACAAAGGGTGCCTTGCCTTCCACTTTAAGGCTCCGAGGCCACTTGGGGAGGACAAAAGTCCACAATCAGTTTGGAAGAATGTGTTCTGTCCCACTCTGCCCTGGGCAGTCTGTCCTGCGGCTTCTTGCTGCCTAACCCCAATGCTGCTCCAAGCTGCAGGAGACTCTACCACTCTGGGGGGCATTAGGATGGCCATGTCCTACCAGGTGAACTGAGAATCAGGCTTGTGTCTTTGCCTGGATGGCCCGAGGAATGGGGAGCATGCAATAAGCAAAAATAAACACTGTAAGGCCTTGACCCCACAATGAGCTACCGGTGCCCACGTGGGGGTCCTTCTGGCACAGATGCAGGGCCCCTTCTGCATGGAGTTTCATTGTAGAACCATTGCCTAAAGCAGGGCTACTCAACTTTGAAAGCTCCGGGGGCCACAGTGATACTCACAGCACATGCTGAGGGCCACAACTTAAGTGCGGTTGCATATACATGCAAATATATGCAAATAACTTTGTTCACACTGACAGGCAGGAATACAAAGCACTCCCCAAAATGTCCCGGCACTCCCAGCCTCTCCTCCTTGGGGGCTAGAAATGCCGGTATCCTGTTCCCGTCTGTTCCAGCCAGCCCGTCCACTTGCGTCTTTCAGTGCTCACCCCGCCTGGGAGAAGCCTTGCTGTTGTGGAGCGTGTTCCCAGTGGAGGCCACGTGTTGGGCCCAACTAAACCCAAACCGCACCGTGGGCCACAAAAAAAGGGGCCGTGGGTCGCATGTCGCCCATGGGACGTGTATTGAATAGCCCTGGCCTAAAGTATCAAGGTCTCCTGAAGAAAGTCCGCTAAGCTGCGTTTCCTTGACGATTGATTGAGCGAGAAGTCTCTCTTACAGGGTTGGTTGCATGTGGGGGCAAGCAGGAGGGAGACAACGAAATGTGGCTTTTCTTCTTCGTGTCAGCTTGAAAACGGGAAAGAATTGTAGCAGAAGCAGATGGAATGCCTCCGGCCTGGGCTTTTGTAGGTCAGATGATTGTTTTTCTGCTTGTTTGGTAAATTTAACTCCATTTAAGTAGCTGTCTCTTCTTAATAATATGTTCTTTTCCCTGACCTCTTTCCAAATCATAAATGACAGTTACATTCAAGTGGCAGAACAACTGTGGGGACGAGCGCTCAAGGGTAAGGTTTGCATAGTCGAGCGAGTCTTGACAATGTCTAGTGGAATGACTGAGAAGTCTCCCCTTTGGACAGAATGTTTACACTGCAGCGTGTGTGTGTGTGTGTGTGTGTGTGTGTGTGTGTGCAGTGTGTGTGTGTGTGTCAGAGAAAGAGCTCTCTTCTGCAGTAGCCACAGTTTCAGAAAGCCAGGGGGAGGGGGCTGCAGTTACTTCATTAACTTCTGCTCAGTGGGGTTGAATGCTCATGATGGTATAAATATCGATTAACTGACTAGTCGATTCGCCTCATGAATTCTTAGCAGTTACTATTCTATAGTCCCTGGGGCTGGGGCCAGAAGCCAGTGCGCTCCAGACCCACTTGCAAGGATCCCCCTCCCACTCCACACTGTTGCCTTTTTATCAGACGAAGCAGCGTGGGGTGCCGGGCGGGAGCTGGTCCATGAGGGGAGCTAGTTTAAAAGCCAGCTCCCCTTGTGGATTGGCTGCCTCTCGCCCTGCACTGCTGCCTCTGATACAGTTCCAGTGCAAGTCAGAACTGAGCCGGGCTGCCTGCCTGCCTGGCTCCTAATACACTTTAAACGCAGGGCCACAAAGGAACTAGGTACTGGACCTGGCACAAGCAAGGACTGAGCCAGGCTGCTGGCCAGCTTGCTAATAAAATTGCTGGCAAAAGTGTGTGTGTGTGTGGGGGGGGGGGTGATGCATGTAGTCTATAGCATTAACCTATAAACTTTTGCTTATCGGTTAATTGGTTAATCGACTACACTATTACATCTCCAGTATACAGTAAGTTTTAGTAGCCAAGCCCTTTGTTAGATGTGGGGAGTGGCACCGGGCCATTTCGAGAACAGTGTTGGAGAAGGGGAGACCCAAAAAAGAAAATATTGCAAGGAAAATTCCAATGTGTTTTAACTTTTTTTGCTTTTCTGGGAGCTGCCGATGGGAAATGGAATGTGTGTAAAAGACAAAAACCAGGTTCTTCTAAATGAAAAGTGTGTTTATTTTTTCTCATCAAGGATCAAAACTGGAATGCATTTTGTCAATTTACAAATATTATCAGCGCGCTCTCTGGTAGAAAAATGGGATGAATTTTTCACAACGTACACCAGAAATTCATGCTGGCTTTTTTGCTTGTTGAAATATTAATGATTTTTCCCCCATTTATCATATTTGGGTCAGCTGTATTATCAGAAAAGACAGTGATAAAAGTTCACTGCTAGCATAAGTAGACACAACTGTGTTGAAATTATAGGAGTTGAGCCCACTTTATACTAGCAGTGAAATCTGACTCACGTGCCAAAAGATCCTAAACCATCCAACAAAAGAGTGCAAGGCCAGATTTTGTCAAGGGGTACCGGTTAATGGTTATTGCATAAAGCCAATAGAGCACATCTAGAATTGTGCGTGAGCTCCAAGATGGAACGTCCTTGTATTACATTATTACCTGTTTGTTTACTTTATATTAGAAGGTTAGAATTTTTGTTTGTCTCCATTCAGCCGCAAAAAGAAAAGTTGAGTCAGTATCAATGAAATGCCATTGAACACTATGTTCACTATGTGCTGTCACATCAATATTTAAAGACCTTGTGTATTGTCTTCTGGTTTGGTGGAATCTTCGGAAACCGTGGGAATGAAGAAACAACTCTAGTTTTACTTGGCCTTTTGATAGGGTTGTCATCCCTGTTTTAATAAAGTTTAGTGGGGCAGGCACCATGTTTCTGTTCTGTGTTTGTACAGCGCCTAGCACAGCGGGTTCTGATCGGTGACCGAGGCTGCTAGGAACTACCACACAAGAGACAATAAGGGGTTGTTTGTCAGAGAGGCAGTGCACCGACATTTCAGCAGTGGTCAGTGAGAGCAGCAGAGACTCAGCAGCTCTGAAAATCAAGCCCTACGCATCTTTCTCTCTATTGGTTTTAGCTATAGCTTCCCTTTTCTGTTTAATCACATCAGCTGATTTTTTTTCCCTTCTCCTTTCCAGGTGATATCAGCTGTGTCCAGACTTTCCCACCACGGTATTGTTCAAACCAAAGGAATTAGGTAAGATTCTTTTCATGTGATGTTTTAGATAAAGCTGGCTTCCCCTCCACCCTGAGCGGACTCCTCTGGTGCTTAATCACATTGGAATCTATAAAGATAATAAGTTGGCAGTATGTGTGTTTGACATCCAACAGCCTGCCTTTGTCATGAGGAAAAGCATACTTATGAAAGTGTACTGCTGATTGCTGCTGGGGAAGCGTCTAAAGACTCCTCTCCTTGACCAAACCAGAGATGTCTTACAAACATGCATGGTAGTTACAGAATTTCTTCTGAGGCCAGGTCTATACTAGATCCAGAAGGTCAGCTTAAGGTACATAACTCCAGCTGTGTAAATAATGTAGCTGGAGTCAACATATCATAAGCCAAGCTTGGCGTCATCTTCATAGTGGAAGGTTGACTGGAGCAAATGCTCCTATTGTCTCTGGGTATGTCTACACTACCACCCTAGTTCGAACTAGGGTGGTAGTGTAGACATACCCAGAGACAATAGGAGCATTTGCTCCAGTCAACCTTCCACTATGAAGATGACGCCAAGCTTGGCTTATTTTTGCATCTCGCGGGGCGCCGCCATTTTTAAATGTCCGCTAGTGTGGACTCCGAATAGGCTTCCTATTCCGAACTACCTAGTCTGTGCCGCGTGGCACGGAGTCCGCACTAGCGGACATTTAAAAATGGCGGCGTCCGGCGAGATGCAAATAAAGCCCAGGAAATTCAAATCCCGGGCTTCATTTGCAACTCCGGTTGCCTACATTACCACCCTAGTTCGAACTAGGGTGGTAGTGTAGACATACCCTCTGACTGGGGGCGCCCTCAGCATTTGATTTAGCAGGTCTTAACTAGACCCGCTAAATTGAATGCCAGAAAATCCATTGCCAGTGTGTAAGCATACACATGGCCCAAGTTAGGTAAGATCAGCAAGTTGAAGGATTTCTCAAGATCATTACTTGAACGTAAGAGCACTGTCTGTTTCATAGAGTCCTGGAGAAGTTTCTGTAGGGGAAGAACCAGATACAGGATAGCGCTTAACTTCATCCATACTTCTCTCATCTCATGTGGTAGTCTGGTTGGTTGTCTCTCGTGGGATATGCAGCTGTGAATCGGGGCCTCTGATGGGGCATGGGGAGACCCACAGACTAGGAGGAATGCTCACAAATGTCAGTCCTCTTCACACTCATTATCTGCTAAAGTTAGTGACTCCCTGGCTGAGTTTGCCTTCGTGAACAGCTATTCTGCTCTTGCTGGCCGCCACATGCTGATAAAGGTGGATGCAACCTAGGACAATTCTGGTATACAGAACCGTGGGTCTCTGCTCCGTGGATTTCAGGAAATGGCCAGAGCAGCAATCTGTGTGGCATTGTGCTCCTGTAATTGCTAATTGTTGGCAAATTTCCCAGAGATGGTCATTGTACAGCTGAAGCTACTCCCCCCACCACTTGCACCCCAATTTAAAAGAAAAGGTTCATTGTGCAAAAATGTGAGGCTGCTGCTCAAATTTCATCCAGAGGATTCCCCATAGTGTCTAATACAGAGAAACTGCCAGTTTTATTGCAAGGCCATGAACAGGTGTTAAAGGAGGGGAATATTTTTGGTTTGGTTTGTGGACTATTTTGCACAGTAGTTGGGACCTTTTCCTAATTGCTTGAACAATGGGGAAGGTGTTTTTAAAAATATCAATGGTACAAATCCATCATCCTCTTGTCATCTTTATGTCATTCTTTGCAAAAAGTTTTTAAATGATCGGGTTGCTTCTAGATAATTTTTATTAGCCTGTGAGACATTAGCAGAGCAAAGAGTGTAGGTAATTTGTATGTTGTGCAGAATGGGTGCAGTCCGGATGGGTGGGCAGGGGACAGAAAGGAGAGAGAGATGTTTCCTGATATTAAGAGTTTTATAGTCCTGTGTATATCCCTCCTATTAGTAAGGGCTGCTCTGACATCCACGCTGCAGCAATCGATCCATCGGCTGTTGATTTATCATGCCTGCTTAGACATGATAAATCGATCTCCACGTGCTCTCCCATTGACTCTGGTACTCTACCAGGATGCAAAAAGTAGTTGGCGTGGATGGGAAAGCAGCCCTTCCGCGTCTTGTGGGGCTGTGCCCCTTTCCTACCATCACTCTAAAGACTGGCTGGTGGCATTGAGAACACTAGCACCCCGGGCTCCAGTCACTGCTATGAAGGGGATGATGTGACTAGAGGGAGCCCATTGGAAGTTTTTATAGTTCTCCCCCTACAGGATTAATGGGGAGCCACAGTTTTCACTGAGCTACAACAGAGGCTAGGTCTATACTATAGGATTTTTTTTTTGAAAAAGCTACGCAAATTGCACTGTGCAATTTTGCGTAGCTTTTTTCCGATTGCTTTTCCAGAAGAGACTTTTCCGCCATTTGGCCCAGTGTAGATGGGACCAAATGGCAGCTTATGCCTCATGAAACGAGGTATACAGGGCTCCCCAAAAGAGCACATTTGCTCTTCCATGAAAAAAAGCAGAAAAGCAAACACGTTCCTTGGACACGGCGGTATCCCAGAAAACCCCTGCATTGTAGATGTACCCAGAAAGAGCAGGGAGAAGCTGTTTAAATCCAGCTTGTTCTTTATGGCCAAGGAGGGAAGTTCGACACTGGCATTCGTTAACACACGGATCCCCTTCCCTGTGATCACCTGATTCCCCAAATCTTGGGGGAGCTGGATGGTGGCTGCCCTGAGACCTGCACCTGACAACTACAATAGTGGGGCTAATAGGGTTGCCAAATGGTTTAACAAAAAATACCAAACACCCTCCTCTCCCCACCACCAAAAAGAAAGAAAAAAAAGCACCAGGAAAAAATGAGAGACTGAACGGATGGAAAGTGGTTCTATTTGTATAGTTGACACACTTTGCTATGTTATTCAGTATCTGATTCTACAACATATTGAAGAGGCACAAAGGATGAGCTCAAAGCATGATGTCTGGAGACTTCAAAATGTACTATTTCCACACCCCAATGCACTCACCCCTGCCCCAGTGCCCGGCCCCCCCAGTGCCCCCCATCCCAATGCACTCACCCCTGCCTCAGTGCCAGGCCCCTCTAGTATCCCCCCATCTCAGTGCATTCCCCCCTCCCCCTGAGGCAGGCATCCCCAGCGTCAGGAGCCCCCACTCCAATCAAATCTCCTCCCTCCCCTGCCCCCACAGAGCCAGGCACGGAGGACCAATCTGACTTTTAAAGTGGCTGCTCCTGCCGCCCAGCCCGGCTGCCTCGGCTCCCCAGCCCGGCTGCCTCGGCTCCCATTGTAGCGAGAGGGAGGCATCACGTGAC